TATATGTCGTTATTATATATATATATATATATATATATATATATATATATTCCTATGCTTCTAATTATTATGATAATTATTATAAAAAATATATTATAAATATATTAAGAAACTAACACATATCTTATAATAATAATAATATACTAATAATATACTTTAAATAAAATTGACATAATTCAAAACTTATCAGTATTAATCTATAAATCCTGGACAATATTAATATGAATAATAATATAAATAATAGATTACATAATAAAATAATGGAAAATATTAAAAATAGAGATAAAAAAGATATTAAACTCTAAATTTTTTTTAAGGTGGAGTTATATGTTGTTATTCATATGTTGTTCTCATGTTTTTATTTAAGAAATTTCAACAGTAGGATTGATTTTCTCTGGTATTTCATTTTAATGTTCTTCTTCCAAAATCAATGTCAAGTAGTGCTGCTCCCAATACGTGATCATAATCATTATTTTTGCTTATATCTTCTATATCATTGCTATTACTTGTATTATCTTTTATATACATCTTAGTTTTTATTCTGAGAAATTGAATCCTCAAACGTCCCTGAGTTGTTGAATGACTATAAATTATTAGATGATTTTGGAATCTTAGTCGAATTCTGTAAATTTTTCCTTTTGCGTAGACGGTAAAATGTCAATACAAGTTTCTTCAGTTTCTTTCCGTGTTCTTTTCTTAGTTTTCAATTCACAATTATATTCATCACTTTTGCTTGTATGTTCTATATTTTTCGATGACTCGAAAATTAAATCATTAGAGTCATCAGAATCGTCAGTCTCAATTTCTATAGTTTTCATATTATCCATGAAGAAAACAACTTCGTACTTAAGCTCATGCAATGGTATTCCATAATAATTTGCAGCCTCCTTTATGGTTTTAAACTTATAGCCAATGTCACATAGTGCTCTTTCCATATGAAAATCTGATTTATCTGTACTTTGCGATAACTGGGAAACATTTTGTGCATCAGACAATGAAGACTGTGATTGGCTTGCTAATTGAGAAACTGATAAACTAGATACGCATTTTGAAGAAGGGAATATTTCAGAAATATTTTTAATTTCTTTTTCGAAAATGTGCAACCATTTTTTTGGCGCACGTTTCTCTTTCATCCATGATTTTGGACAAACATGTAGTTTTTTAGCGCATTCGTAAGCTAATTCTCGTAAACACTTTCTTGCACAAGTCGTACAAGGACAACGAGATAAAAATTTTTTTAATAATGTTAATAACCATTTACAATCTTCATCATTAAAGACTTTACTTGTCTGCAATAATTTGCTTTTATCTACATCTTCCGTAGCAAACAATAAGGATTGTGATTGACTCGATGGAGAAGATGTTGAATCGGAAAATACGCACTCTGAAGAAGGAAATACCTCAGAAATATTTTTTATTTCTTTTTCGAAAGTATCTAACCATTCCTGTGCTGCACATTTTTCCTTTTTCCATGATTCTGGACAAATTTTTAATTTTGTGGCCCATAGGTAAGCCATTTTTCGAAGGCGACTTTTGGCACAATTCGTACAAGAACAAGGTGGAGGAAATCTTTTCAACAGTGTAAGCATCAATTTACAATCTTCATCACTAACAATCTTGCTTGTCTGCAACGAATCGCTTTGTTCCGAAACATTTTTCATATTGGGGAATACAGAAGGTACTTGTTGAGGTAATAGAACTGCCTCATTCGTGAGATTTGGTGGTAAAACTGAGGAAACTGAGGATTGTAACTGATTTTCTAATTGAGAAACTGATAAAGCAGAAACGCATTTTGAAGAAGGAAATAGCACAGACATTTTTACTTTTCTTCTTTTTTCGAAAATGTTTACGAATCCTACCGCTGTACCTATTTTCTGCCATGTTGTTGGACAAAATTCTTGACTTCCTTGAATCCAATCGTAAGCCATTTTTTCTAGACGATGAGTTGAACAAGACGTACAATTACAACATGATGAATTAAACAATTGTTGAATTAATTGATCGAACACTTCATTTGTAAAAAGATTCCTTGGTTTCGGGCTGCCATTCATCTATTGCCTTGTTTGATTGTGTGAATTCCTGGATGGCCGAGTTTATATAACGAAGATTTATATTATAGAGATATGCAGACTCAGTTCTTGTTAATTGTATATTTAAGACATTATTTACTGCTGCTTTGAGTCTATGGATATAATCATCATGTAAATTATAATCCATATTTTTAGTTGTTACTGTTATCTACAAAAAAAAAGAAAATATGTCAATAATAATAAAAATATTTTGTACAGTTATAAACAAATGTTTTAATATTGTAAGTTGATAACTTTACAATACATGTATATTTTAATACTTACATTATATATTCTTATACTTTCAATTATACTCAATTTTAATTTCTCAAAGATAGGCCAAATACTCAAATGATTGAAACACTTTTTCTGGAAATCCTTAAATTGAATTTTTAATCCGGAAAACTTGTTTATAGATTACAATTCCGACGCACTTGAAAAAAGATGAAAGCAGAATATTTTAATTGTCGATTACACGTATTTTCTAAAAGAAAGAAAGTAAAGACTTCAGAATAAAGACTTCGCATATAAATATATGGATAAATGGAGCAGACTTGGTTAGAATGATTTAAAATTATTTACATGATTTGACAAGACTCTCGTATATATTATTATAAAAACATTTTCGAGAATATAAAAGATATATAATTAACATAAAAAAGCAAAGATACTTACTAAATAAATTCGAAATAAGATCTTAATAAAACCAATTTAACAAATCCACAATATACTGCTCATATTGAAAGCAAACGTGAAGTAATGTCAACAGTTATCAAACCTAAAATTTAACGTTAGATAGATATATAGCATATACATTTATAAACATCATAGAAATTGTCCTTAGTTGTTGATGTTATTTACTGTTCTCAATATTTTCTATTTTACTTGTAACATTTATTTAACGTCTCTGTGAAACATATAGAATATGTTATGTATTTATCTTTTTTTATTTGATCAAAATATTCTAAATTAAATCGTTGTCTTATTATTAAGTATTGTAAAAATTATTATCTTTACTGAAATAATGTTCTTGTATAAGTTTTTCAATATTTTTATGAAATATGTATGCTGTAAAACTAATTTGCTCAATAAGATAATTTTTTAATAAAAAAGTAAATTTTTTAAATTTTATTGCAAAATAAAACAATTTCATAAAAAAAATGTCATATTTTCTTTTCAGCTTTTAACTAAGAAGTCGTAATCTCTCTCAACATTTAAATTCTTCATACTAATATTATTTGAGTCTCTCATTTTTTGTGTTTTTTGTAATGTTGATCCATTATTGCAATTATGTTAATCCTATGTTTGCAATTATTAAGTCTTTTATAGTAGAAAGCATTTAAAGCACTATTTTAAAATATTTTGTTTAAATGATTTATTTTTTCTGCACAAGCAATTATTATTTATCAGATATCAGAATATTTATCAAATGTTTAAGAGAAACATTAACGTTAAACTTGAGATTAATTTATGTTATAATGGAAAGAAGAAATAAAATTTATTTAAATCTTAAGAAGTTATTCCAGTTAAAATAAATGTATTTAACATTTATTTATTTTATTATTAGAAACACAAAGAATACGCTAAATGAATGTATTAAATAAATGTTTTTCTTTTACTATAAAATCTATTTAATATAAAATTTCTCAAATATTTCTCAAATATTTAGGATTATTGAAATTTTTAGTTTTAATGACAAAAATGAATTTGACAAGTTATCAATAAATTTAAAAAATTTTTAATTTAATATTGAAAGTTTCCAAACTTTTATAACAAACATGTATAATCGATCCTATGAAGGTTGCAACACTTTTTTTACAATAATTTCTGGAATGCAGAAAAATTGTAAGAATGGAAAATGGAAACAGTTATTTTAGAGGTATGTAGTGAGCGATTAGGACAATTGCCAAAATGGTATGCTTAAAATGAAGAAATAAACTAATACATCTTATGCATCAAGAAGCTTACTATTTATTACTTATGAATTTAATGTTCGTAATAATTTAATTTTATATAAATTTGTTTATAATTGTTAATTTGAAAATATAGTAATTGTAATACAATAAATTGTCTTAAATTATTCTTTGTTAAGGAAGATTAATAACTTTTAGTATCCTAAGTAGCATGAAACAGAAATTCGTCCTGATGCTTTGGAAAAAACATAAATTGTATCAATTATATAAGTAAGTATAAATATAATAGTATCATATATGTAATAATATTAATAATAATATATATATATATAATAATATTAAATATCAATTATATAACAAGATCATATTTAATTGCCAGTAATGAATGCTGAAGTTTGGTTTATTTTGATTCAGAGAAGTTTTCTTGTCAGAGATATTAAGGGTGTTATGGCATCGGCATATACTTTCTCATTAAACATGAAAGCATTTAAACCTTCGTAATTTTTTACTAGAGTGTTAATAGAAAAGAGTAAGTGAAAATGGTATTTATTAAATTTTATGGTTCAGGTAATATTAATCTTGAGATTAATTAGTAATGTATATATTCATTGATGCCTGAAATTTACAGTGCAACTGTACATTTATTCTTGCAGTGATAGCCAATAACTGTGTTACGAATGACAAATTACTTATGATAATGGCAAGAGCAATGAAGACATTTTTCAAGATAATTTGCAAAACATTGTGCCGAGCACATTCTACTCCATCAATTCCATTTTCTGGATATAAGGATTTATCTGAAATAAAAAGAATGCAGTTATACTTTGTGCGTCCAAAAATTGTAAACGCCATTAGTAATAATTCTGATGGTACTTGTAATTGCGATATTTCTTGTCAGGTTTAAATTATTCATTATAAACGTGTAATTCATCACACTTACTGGCGACAAGGTTCTCAGAATATGTCAAAATTTGCGAGATTTTGTTAAACTCGAATGGATTAATATCATCAATGCTCGAAAATGCGTGACTGAATGTGTACGATTTTTTTTAATATACACAATTGCCAGTAAAATCAGTCAGCAAAATAGATATTTCTGGCATTTCTGACAGATTATCGACAAAATAGCTAAAAAAAATTAAAAATGATAAGATTCAGAAAATAAAATACATATTAGATTATTATTTTATATTATTGTTATTATTATTTTATATTATTATTATATAAGATTAAATTAATTAAAAAGAAATAAAATTTTTATTAACCACAATTCATTTCATTACTCACTTATGGCCTATGTTGGTCTTTAGAAAAGATTAGAATCACAGACGTATATTAGAGATAGAAAAGAAGAAAATTAATATTATCATAACTACTATTACAACGGATTACAATTAGTTTATTTGTGAATTCAAAAACTCTCAGAACATTAAATTCTTCTTCAAAATTTTATTACGGTAACATCGTATCCATGGGGGATTATTGCTAACAAAAGCTATATCAGCTGCATAAAAATAAAAATTAAAATAATAAATGTATGCAATAATAAATGTGTGCAAAAAATGATATAATAATTATTCAACATGATTTTATATATATTAAAAATGAAATAATATTACATGTTAGAAAAACACAGTGTAGAAAATCATTACCTTTGAATATATTTTCAAAATAACATACATTTATAAAATTCACAAGTAGTTTATCACCTCGCAAAATTAAATTAAAATATTTAACACATTCTACGATGTTTTCATATATAAAATATAATTATTGCTCTCCACATTATAAATTCACGGAAAAAATAATTATTTATTTCAGATAATTATCTGTCTAAATAATTTGACAGCTAACATACGATACATTACCCATATTTTTTTTTTTGCTTGGATCCTGTTTACATCTAAAGTCAATGTTTTTCTGAGAGTAGGAGAGTTGACCTTCTTACATAAGTTGATCTTAAAATCGCAACGATACATGCAAAGTTTTATAAAATAATTCTGCTTAATGCTGAATGTCTAAATGTTGAAATAAATCACGATGTTAAAAAATTACTTTCTAAAATAAATTTTCATGTATAAATATGTATATAAGAACTTAATGTACACTTTTCTTTTCACTTTGTAAATTTTTCTTGATATATTTGATTTATAATAAATTATTCTGATACGCCATAATTCTGATGCGACATAATTTATTTATTACAAATTTCAATCATACCGTATTTCAAAGTATTGAATGGAAATGAATGGATGAAATCTTCTAGAAAGACATCATTTTGTGCAATATCAAAAAAAATAATATTAAATGAGTATTTTTAATCTATATTCGTTCGTTACATAAAACTTTCTTCTGCCTTTTTTGTTTTTATATACGTACTTGAAATTTGTAAAAGAATTTTTCAGTTCTGTCAAGTCAATTCACAACGATTATTAATTTTAATGAACTTTTTACGTTCAACATTTTCTTAAGCGAAGTAAAAATTTTAATAACAGAATATATAAAGTCATAATTTAACATTCAATATACACTCTCCTTTTAGCACAAAGTGAAATCACATGTTTCTCCTATAGCACGTTATTCGTATATGATGATTACTGGTGTACGTTAGCTGTGTGAAACTTGGCTCAAGAAGCTAAACCTTCCTACTTTCGTCTATCTTTCAGTTGCTATTGAGTTGAAGAAGACAGAACGAAAACAAAAAAGGATAGACGATAGAATCTATCGTCTATCTCGAAGACAGTGAATAAAGGAAAAAAGGATAGAGGCATTTTATTAGCTTATTAATAAATGTTAGAATAATAATATATATTATACGTTGTAAGAATGAAACCATGATTTATTAATTTTAGAAAATGAAATGATATAAATAATATGTTCATTTACAAATTCTAGAAAAAGTTCATGTAGAAAAGAATGTATGTTGCACATTTGCAATTGTCAAAGAAGATGTAAGTAAAATTACTTTTCATACATATATATATATATATATATATATATATATATATGTGTAGTAAGAGAGAGATATAATTAGAGAAAATATTAACGTAAAATTGAAGAAATCAGTATTTTATGAAGTACATTATTTTGGTTCTTATTGTGATGGAAAAATCAAACTCCAAATTTTTTTCAAGATGGATGGTTTATACATTGTCTTTTCTGTTTTTATTTAACAAATTCCAGCAACTCAATATGAAGAGTTTTTTCTGATATCCCATAATAATCCGCAGCTTCTTTCACAGTTTTTTGTCCACAGTTAACATCAACTAGTGCTGCAATTAATGTACGATGATATTCCTCACTTTTGATTTTATCTTCTGCATTATTACTTGTATCTTTTATATACATTTCTTTTTTTATATTTTGCGGTGACTGAGAAATTGAATCCTTAAATAATCTTGAGTTGTTGGGTGATTCTAAATTATTAGATTTTGAAATCTTAGTAGATTTTGCGAATTTCGAAAACTTTTCCTTAAGCGTAGTTGATGGAACCTTAAAATCTGTAGTTTCTTTCCATGTTCTTTTTCTAATTGTTGCTTTCGATTCACGTTTATATTTATCACTTTTATCTATATCTTCTATATTTTGCGGTACCTGGGAAATATTTTTCACATCAAGCAATGAGGATTGTGATTGATTTGCCAATTGAGAAATTGATGAATCAGAAACACATTTTGAAGAATGGAATAACTCAGAAATTTTTATTTTTATTTTTCTTTCGAAAATGGATGCGAATCCTATCGCTGCACGTTTTTCTTGCCACGATTTTGGACAAACTTCTCGAGTTTCTTGGATCCAATCGTAAGCCATTTTTTCTAGATGATGAGTTACACAAGACGTACAAGTACAACATGATGAATTAAACAATTGTTGAATTAATTGGTCGAACACTTCATTTGTAAAAAGATTCCTTGGTTTCGGTTGCCATTCGTCTATTGCCTTGCTTGATTGTGCGAATTCCTGGAGGGCCGCATTTATATAACAACGTTTTATATTATAGAGACGTGCAACCTCAGTTTTTGACAGTTCTGTATTTAAGACATTATTTACTGCTGCTTTGAGTTTGTGGATATATTCATCATGTAAATTATAATTCATATTTCTAGCTTTTATTATCGTCTACAAAAAAAGGAAATATGTTAATAATGATAATAATATTTTACAAACAAATGTTATAATACTGTAAATTGATAGTTTTAATGCATGTATATTTTATTACTTACGTTATATACTCTTATATTTACATATAACAATTTTAATTTCTTCAAAATATTTCTCCAAATATTTAAATGATGGAAATACTTTTTTGAAGCTCTTAAATAAAACTGTTAATCAGGGAAATTCGTTTATAGATAGAAATTCCGACACATTTGGAAAAAGATTAAAGCAGAATGTTTCAATTGTCTATTACACGTATTTTCTGAAAAGAGAGAAAATAGAGATTTCCGAATAAAAACTTTACATATAAATATAAATGGAATAGAATTGTTCAGAATAATTAATTTAAAATTATCTGTATGATTTGAGAAGATTTTCGGATAGTGTTATAAAAACATTTTTAAGAATATAAGAGAAATTTACGAGTTAACACAAAAAAAGCAAAGATACTTACTAATTAAATCCATAAGATCTTAATAAAAAATATTTAACAAATCCGCAACATTGTTCCTATATACTGCTCCTATTAAAAGCAAGTAGTGAAGTAATGTCAAAAGTGGTCCAACTTAAAAGTCTAACGTTAGACAGACACATAGCATGTACATTTATAAACATAATAGAAATTATCTTTAGTTGTTGATGATTTTTAACTGTTTATTTTACTCGTAACATTTATTTGACGTCTCTATTAAATGTATTATAGAATATATTATGTTTCTATCTTTCTTATGTAATTAAAATGTTCTAAATTAAATGAGAATCATTGTTTAATTATTAAATGTCATAAAAATTATTATCCTCACTAGAATAATAATATTCTTATCATTTCTTGAATATTCTATGAAATAATTTGCTCTATAATTTGCTCCATAAAATAATTTTTATTATAAAAGTTAGAAATTATATATTTTTTTAGAATCTTACTGCAAAATAGAACATTGTCAAAGAAATATTTTTCTTTCAGTTTTTTACTAAGAAATTGCAATCTCTTTCAGCGTTTAAATTATACTCTCTACTAGCATTATTTGATTAAGAAATTAGATTTTATAATATTGTCATAAAACAAGATTAATAACAGACTTTATAATATTGTCATTGCGTTTTATTAACTTGTCAGTAAATGTTGCAATAATAGTGACTACATATTATGCGTTTTAGGAATGAAACGACTTGTAATTAATTTTACAAAATAAAATAATATAACATGAATAGCTATCTAATAACATGAATAGCTATCTATTTACAAATTGTGAAAAGAAATCTTATCGAAAAGAGTATTGTATACTTGTGATTTGTCAAAGAAGATGCAAATAGAACATGCTGACTTACTTTTCATACATATAATGATTATTAGAGATTATTAAAGATGTTATAATTATATTAACAAAATGGAGAAATCAATTTCTTATAAGATATATTATTTCTTATTATATTATATATTATTCTTATTATGATGATAAAATTATTCAAAACATATTGTTACGTAACATATTATAATATAGATAATATATAATACAGACACAACTTAGAATATTTAAATTTTATATATATATATATATATATATAAATATATAGTATATATAAAATTTAAAAATATTTTAAATTTTATTATTATTTATATTTATAAATTACATTTATATATATAAATAATTTATATAATGTACATAAATTATATATATGTACATACACATATACATATATTTACACATATACACATATATGCTGTTTTCTCATGACATGCATTGTATATTGGCATATCTAATTGTATATTGTAATCAGACATATACACTCATATACAATGCACTTAGAATACATATAAAAATACATACATACAAAATTTTACTTTTATATATATATGTAATATTATATATATTCTTAACTTTCAATAATTATTATAAATTATATTATAATTATATTATAATTAAAAAAATAATATCTTATAAATAGTTAAAAATAGTATCTTATATTAATATACATTTTAAACAAAGTTGACACACACTAAAAACTTCTGACAGTTTATAAATCCTGAATAGTGCTGGTCTATAGAAAATAGTTTATAAAGAAAGATAATATGTAGATTAGATAAACAAGTAATGAAAAATATTAAAAAATAGAGAATAGATAAAATATAAAATTTCAAGATTTTTTCAAGATAAACAATTTATACGTTGTCTTTTCTGTTTTTATTTTTGAAATTCTGTCATTTCAATATGAAGGATTTTCTATGGTATTCCATAAAAATTTACTTCTTCCAATTCATTTTCAAAGTCAATATCAAGTAGTGCCGTATCCAATTTATTATCATATTTATCACTTTTGTTTAGCTTTCATATTTTGCGATGACTGGGGAACTGACTCGATAGATGATTTTGAATTGTCAAACGATTCTGAGCTATTAGATGATTCTGGACTTTTTATAGATTTTACAAATTTCGGAAATTTTTCTTTAACCTTAGACAATGGTATCTCATTAAAATCTACAGTTTCTTCCCATGTTCTTTTTCTAGAAGTAATGTTACTTAATACTGTTTTTAATTCATTACTTTCTTTACTTTTTATATCTGCTGTACTTTGTTGTAACTGAATAACATTTTTTGCAGGTAATAAAGATTGTGATTGGCTTGTTTGAGAAGTTGATAAATCAGATACGCATTTAAAAAGAGGAAATATCTTAGAAATATTTATTATTTCTTTTTCGAAGGTATGTAACCATTTCTCTGTCGCACGCTTCTCTTTCTTCCATGATTTTGGACAAACATATTGTTTTTCAGCCCATTCGTAAGCCATTTCTCGAAGACGATTTCTTGCGCAAATTGTACAAAAACACTGTGGAGGAAATCTTGTTAATAATTTCAATAACCATTTGCAATCTTTATCATTAAAGATCTTACTATTTGTCTGCAGTGAATTGTTTTCATCTGTTACATCTTTCGTAATAAACGATAAAAATTGTGATTGTTTCGCTAATTGAGAATTTGATGAATTAGATCGGCAATCTGAAAAAGGGAATAACTCAAAAATATCTTTTATTTCTTCTTCGAAGTTGGATAACCATTCCTCTGTCGCACGTTTCTCTTTCTTCCATGATTTTGGACAAATTTTTAATTTTTCGGCCCATTCGTAAGCCAGTTCTCGAAGATGATCTCTTGCGCAAGTCGTACAAAAACAATAAGGCGGAAATCTTTCTAATAATTTTAATAACCACTTACAATCTTCATCATTAAAGATCTCACTATTTGTCTGCAGTGAAATTTGTCTGCTTTGATTTGAATGTTCCGCATCTATTGTGAATAGTAATTTATCCCCTTGAGTTGACTGAACAGGGTTTTCTAATGAAGAGAATACCTTAGGAATTTTTACTCTTATTTCTTCTTTGGATACGCGTTTGACTGTTTCTGGCGTACGCTTTTCTTCCTTTAATTCTGGACAAACTTGATCTCCTTCGTCGTTATTGTTAGCCATTTCTTGTTCAGATAATCTGTTGATCAAGACATACAAAGGTCTGATTAAAGAAACTGTTTTTAATTAATTAAGTAACTAGTCGAACACTATTTATAAAAAAGTTACCTGTCTTGTTTGAATGCTATTCATCTACTTGCTTTCCTGATTTTCTAATTTCCTATTTAATTTGATATAACTTATATATTCTTGGTATATATTATAGAAGTGTGAGATGCCATAGTGTATTTAGAATCATCATTTACTGCTTCTTTTAATCTGCGGTTACATACAACAATTGGTTATAATCTATGTCATTAGCTATTATTATAGACTGCAGGAAAAACGGGAATATGTCAATTACAGTAAAAAATATTTCGTACAGTTATAAATGTTATAATATTGCAAGGTGATAATTTTATAATATATGTGTATCTTAATAATTATAATACATATACTTATACTTACATTATTACAATTATGCCCAATTTTAATACTCATAAATACGGTCAATGATTGAAACTCTCTTTTTTTGTAACTTTCTTTTTCAGAATAAAGATCAAGGAAACTTGTTTTTAAATTCTTTCTTGTACAAAATTTCCGATGTGTTCGGAAAAATATTAAAGCAGAATATTTCAATTTCATCGATTATACTTATCTTTTAAAAGAAAGAAAATAAAGGTTGTGAAATAAAAGCTTCGCATATAAATTTAAATAATATTATTAGAATTATTCAGAATTATTTAGAAAATTATTTAGAATTTAACAAGATTTTTGGATATTTTTGTAAGAATATTTTAAAGTATTTAAGAGAAATACAATTGACACAAAGAAGCAATGATACTTACCAAATTCAAAAACAAATTTTAACAAAGAAAATTTATCAAATCTGTACTTTATATACAGATTTAATGATGATCAAATTGAAAGCCAGTAACAAAATAATAACGATTGAACTTATAAGTCTAATGTTAGATAGATAATATATATATATATATTATGTATAATACATAATATGTTAAATGTTTTCTTTTGTGGCATGTTTATATACATTAAAGAAATTGTTCTTAACTATAGTTGCTGCTATTTGCTGTTCTCATTGTCTGTCCATTTTATCTGTTCATTGTACCTATTATTTAACATATTTAACATATTTGTGAAATATATATTTTAAGATATTCATTTTTACTTTTTTCATGTTTAAAATATTCTAAATTAAATCAATGTTTCATTACCAAATGTTATTAAAAATTACTATTTTGACTAAAATTATAAGATTTTTATATTATTTTTGTAATATTTTTATGTTAAATATTAATTTTTTTCAATAAGATTATTTTAAAATTACAAAATCAGAAATTATTGTTTCTTTGGATTTTTATCGTAATCAAAATAGTTTCAAAGAAATGTTATGCTTTGTTGATATATCTTCATTTTTTATCATAAAGCCGCAATCTTTTCTTTCTTAATTTCTCCGTACTAATATTATTTGATTCTTTTGCTTTTTGTATTTTTTGTAATATGACCAATGTTGATTCACTACATCAATTATCGAATGCTTTAGGCAATAGAAATTATTTGTGAATATTTCCAAGTGTTTTGCGAAAGTTTTTTATTTTTTTTGTCAGCAAAATATTTATTAAATATTTAAAAGAAACATTAACGCTAAATTTAAGATTAATCGGTGATGGCATCTGATACCATCTATTTTTCCGAATTTTTATATATCTCTGAAACATTATCAAAACTATAACAAATGCTATAATAAAACATTCAGCAGAGAGAATATCCTACTGAATTAATTTATGTTATCAAATGCAAAAAAAAAGAAATAAAGTTTGTTTAAATTCTACGGAGTTATTCCAGTTAAAATAAACTTCTTATTGGTTTCTTATTGGTTTATATATTATTATTAGAAACATAAAGTAATATATTTAACACTAAATTAATATATTTAACGAATCATTTTCTCTTTTAATATATAGCATAAAATTTTTCAAATATTTGAATTATAAAAATTTTTATTTTTAATACCAAAAGTATGTGAATATGAGAAATCATTGATAAATTTTAAAAAATCTTAATGGATTCGATAGAATTGACAATTGGCCAATATTTCATGGCGCCAGAAAACTGAACTGAAATAAAAAATGATTATCAATGCATGAAAATTTGACTGTGAAAATCATATGACATACACATGCTTATCATCAAAAATATCAATGTCACTGATTTCAAAGATTGTGAACATTTCTTAAAAATTGGGAAGACAAGCAGTCTAGTGGACGCAATGTTTAATCTCCTATAGTGTTGAATGACAGTGTTCTAAAAAATCAAACTGTGGAAATCTTTGCCATTTTCCAATCAGAAGCCTGTGGAACGTAAATGTTGAATAAACTTTCTAGAAAGATCTTCTTTAAATTACGGCATTTATGTAATGTTCTTTTCTGTAGCTGAGGGAACATTGGACAGACTAATTTCATTATTGAAAGGATATGTAAAAAAAGAGCGCGAAAAGGATTATCAGATTGGCGATTTGATGAAATTCCATTGTATGCAGGAAAGTAGAGAAGTTATTATCGGTAATACTAGCAGAAGATATTGTTAGATATTTAGATTTTAGATATTTAAAGCTATTCTTAAGCAGCAGATACATCATAAATATAAAATGTAGACAGTCATTATGCAAAATTTACATAGAAAGAATTAGTGATAGTGTTTTTTTTTTAATTTATTTTAAAATTAATTTGCAATATATTTTTAAAAATTTTTGGTTTTTTATAAGGGAATTGTCGAAGTAATTTTGTTGTTTTTATGTTAGTTTTATAATATATCTATATTTGATGTCTCTTTATTACAAAATAAATTTTATTTATAAGAATTAAAAAGTACTAAATAATTAATTATTATAATTTGACAAATTTTAGAATTGAAGAGATGTAAAAATTGGGAAGATAACTTTTATAAATCGTTAAATAGATAAAGATTGTACATGACAATTACAAAAAAGAGATAGCAACTTGAGCATGTTAGTATATACACACTGATCACACATTCATCACACACTCATCACACACTCATCCACACACACACACACACACACACACACACACACACACACGCGCGCGCGCGCGCGCGCGCATGCACACATACATATCTAGACTTTAGTAACACTGTAAGAAATTCAGAGTCACTTCACCTACAAAAGTCGTCATGAAATAATTACTAAGGTCAATTACTAAGGTCAAGGCAAGAAAACCAGACCACTAAGTTCCGGATAGGTCTATATAAATCGCAGTCGTTAATGAAATTTCCTATCTATTACTGTTTAGCGTTAATATCTAAAAGATCTTCAAAGCGTTATAAAAAGTGTATCCAAGTAGTACAACTTAAGACTTATCAGCCTCTTATCACGTCGTGCTTATTCACACATGTAAGTAAATTCAAGTTAAAGTGTGATTTAGGTTTATGAACCTTAGAACATCCTACAACACGGCCTAGGCTGGGACTCCTAAATATCGTCGCCGATAAAATAAATATTCATACACGGTAATTCAAACAAATATTTGTGAATTTACTATTCATAAAACGATTATCGATTGTACCTATATGTAAATAAGCTATATGTGAGTGTGATGAATAAACTTGTTACGCGAATGTGGATTGTTCACTCGATATAAAACATTTTGATGCTTTCTGGCGTTGTTTTTACAACGCAGATGAGCTATTGAGACAATTGCTTCTATCTATCAGAAATCAGATTTGTATCGGAATGCACCAGATGAGATATATGAAATTTCTATAACCTAAATTAAATAAGTCATTTCAGTCCTATCCATATCTAAATTTTTATCCATCTCGTAGATAACAGGAGAAATTTTTTTATACTTAATATAAGTTCAATATAGAATGAGTCTAAAATAATGATTAAATAATTATATATTAACTATTGTCAATAGAATTTTGTCTTTAATATATTCCTTTCTTTATGTAATATAAATATATATTTTGCTATATAATTATAAATTATAAAAAAGATAAAATAATTAAAATAACCACAATATCAGTAATATCAGTAATGATAACAATTATACAATGTTATAATTATATGTGGCAAATTGGACATAGTTTATATTTGTGAAAGATTTTTGTATTATGAGAATTAAAGATTATTATCTCTATCGTTTTTATTTTCATCCTTATATAATAGAATTTATTACTTTATATATATATATAAAGTAATAAATAAGACAAAATATATATTATATACATAAAGAAGAATATATTAAGACAAATTCTA